CACAACTCCTTGAAATATATATGTTCTTCATCAAGTACCTCACTAGTAGAGATTAAAACAAAAGCTATGACATATGCATTACCAAGTCTCTAAGGTGGCTTAATGACCCTTTTTGTCCTATCTCTAGCTAATAAGTAGTCATTATCAGTCTCGACGTTAGTATCAACATCTTGTGCCTCGATTGCAACTTCATATGGGTTTTGCACTTCAACATCAATGTGTCCCACCTCAATAGGAAACTCTTCCTATTCTTGCTCTTCTTCAGATATATTTTCATTTCGACCAACATCATCAATTTTCTTGAATGACATCTCAGTTTCATTAAAAACTACTCCACGACTTGTAATACACCTCTTACGATCTATTTATAGGCACCCTGACCTATAGGCTTCAACTCCCTCAGGATACCTAAGGAACATGCATCTTAGAGTTATAGGTTCAACTTTTTCTTGCCTAATGTGAGCATAAGATCACAATTAAATACTATTAGTTTGTTGAGATGTGGTGGATGACCTGACCAAACTTCTTCAGGTGTCTTCATTCCCAAGGAAATCAGAGGACACTTATTTATCAGGTACACTGCAATTGCAATAGTCTCAGCCCAAAACACATTTTTCAATCCAACATTAACCAACATGCATCTTAACCTTTCCAGGATAGTATGATTGAACCTATCAGTCAGACCATTTTGCTAAGGAGTACGTTTTGCTGTCTTGTGCCTTGGAATACCAACCATATCATAATAACCTTCGAAGGATTTGCAGAACTCAAGGTCATTGCCAGTCCCTTAACCTCTTGACCTTCCCGCCCATTTAATTCTTGACCAGAGTCTTCCAACTTTTGAAATTTTCAAAATTTTCATCCTTATTTTTCTGAGTGAATACCCATAACTTTCGTGAATAATCATCAACTATGGATACATAATATCTCGCAACTGAGTGAGAAGGACTTCTTGCAGGCCCACAAAGATCAACATGAATGTAATCAATGTATCATTGTGTTCTATGTTTTCCTTTATTTAACATCACTATGTAAGGTTTTCCAAATACACGATGTTCACATAACTTCAACTTTTCAAACTTGTCACCACCTAGGAGATTTGTTTCCCCAATTCAACTAGACCCCTTTCTCTGACATGGCTCAATCTCATGTGCCATAGCTCTGTCTTCTACATAGGCTTTATGGATGCAAAATCTGCTGAACCACTTACATCCTCAACCTCAAGGGATACAAGCCTTGTCTCTTGATGCCTCTCAACACTTCCATCAACCCCTTTATGACTCTCAGAATACCCTGTTCTCCTTCGAAAACATATTATTTCTAGTCGAATTCACCAAGAGAAATCAAATTCTCTAAGATAAGGTACATATTTAACGTTGGTCAACAACTATATTAACTTAACATGAATCTTGAATCTCAGAGATCCAATCCCTGCATTTTATAGGCATTATGTTTCCCAACATCACTCATCAACCATCTTGATCACATAGTTCCTCAAACACATCTTTGTTTAGAGTCATGTGCCAAGTGCAACTTGAATCTATAATCCATTCCCTTGCTAGAATTACTGCTTGAAACCATCAAAACATCAGATGATTCATATCATCTAGAACAATGGTTGCATTTCCATTGTCCTAACCAACACCATAACTCTTTAACCTATCAAGACACACTTTTCTTGTATGACCTTCCTTCTTACATTGGTAACACCTCAAAGGTCATGACTCTCTTTCATACAAGCGAGTTTCTTTGAAATGAGCATGGTAAAACACACAACATCGACAAGCAACACTTGATCTTCATCACCGATGCTAACATCAATATTCTCTAGATCAAGGATCAGTTTATTGAACATATCTAACTCCTTGGACAAGATTTTATTTTTATTCATATTGAATAAATACATAGCTTGCTTCAGGTAGAGATAATTGGCCAAGGACTTGGTCATGTAAAGACCTTCAAGTTTTAACCTTACACCTACTACAATTTTGTCATTCGAGACCTGCCAGAAACCTTATAACCAAGAAAAAACATTGTGAGAAAGAGAGAACTTCTTGAACAAACACAAGAAAAATTATATGTACAATTCACGAAGAGGAGGAGAGAGAGAGAGAGAGAGAGAGAGAGAGGAGAGAGAGAGAGAGAGAGAGAGAGAGAGAGAGAGAGAGAGAGAGAGGGAGAGAGAGAGAGAGAGAGAGAGAGAGAAGAGAGGAGAGAGGAGAGAGAGAGAGAGAGCGAGAGATGTGAGAGAGAGAGAGAGAGAGAGGAGAGACGAGAGAGAGAGAGAGAGTTTGTTAGACAATTATTTTCTATTCACTTTCTTAATTAGAGTTAATAGATTACAAGTGAATAATAATCAACATCTCTCAACAACTTGAGAGACCAACCTATTTTATAGACTACTAGCATATGTATGTTATGTATAAAACACATACATGACATGCATAACTACTACATAATAAAATACATAAACAACTTTGACTACTGCATGCTCGAACAAGCTTTAACTATAACATGCACAATTCCGACTTTGCATGCTTGTACAGACTTCGACTACAACATACACATCCAATCGAAACCATGAAACTACCCATATCAAGACTAGAGTTCGATTCAACATAGTACACTATTCTTGTACTTCCTCTATTTTTTTTATTTAAAAGAAAATCAATTAAAGTTTTAAAATTCAAAACTTAATATTTGAATATTTAACTTGATGTTGGAATTTTATAACATCCAAAATTTCCATAGACATACTTTTATTTTACGAGTGTTTGATCAGTTGGGGTAATTGTTTTTTTACTAAAAAATGAAATTAATTTTAACTTCATATAAATTAAAGGTGTTTTGGGTAGATAAAGTATTTTGGGGGTATAGATAAAATTTATTGGGTATAACGTTAAATATTCTATTCCCAAGAGCCCAGCCGAGTTCTTTGAAGAGGTCCGTCATTCTCTGCCTGCTCCGCCCTTTGCTGTATCACGACACAAGTTGCAGTCGCACTCAAATCCACTTCCCGGAAAACGCTGCCGGAATTTGTTCGTCGAGAAAGTCATCCAGGTTTTCCTTTGTTCAATTTTTTTTCTTCTTTTTTTTCTTTCATATGCTTCACGTGGACTGTTATTTGTGTTTGGTAGAACTTTTAGGGTAGATGTGTTTATATGATATATGTTGTTGGTTTTACTTGTTCAGAAATCATGAAGGTGCGTTCATCTGTGAAGAAGATGTGTGAATACTGTAGGACGATTAAACGCAAAGGACGGGTTTATGTCTTGTGCACAGCAAACCCTAAGCATAAACAAAGACAAGGCATGTCAACATTTGCAGATGAAGCCGCGTCTCATCAGCCGTATGTTTTCTGTTCTTTCTTTCCTGGTTTCGATTAACTGTAGATTCTTTATTGGCCTGCGTCTTTAGATTTGAATAGTTAGGTGCTATCCTTTTTTAGGGTTTATTAAATTTGGTTTGCGGTGCATACACAGTAATGCAAATGTGAAATGCTTTGTTTGGAAAAGGTAGAAGGTAAGCTAATGATTATAGTAGATAAACAATCCCATGGTGGATGTCGGGTAACGCGTAGTTGATAGCGTTTAGTTGAAAAGCTAGCAGATTGAATTTTAAGTGTTTGGTGAGTTAGTTGCTGAACTGGTTGATAAGTGTAAAACAGCAGAAAATGTCTATGCAAGTTTAATGCGGGGCAGACTACTGGTGTACAGTATCAGTTATCATGGGCAGCAGGGTGTGCATGATTCAAGGTGGTTTATGGTAGGGATCCACCTTTCTGTTTGAGTTCACACCCAGAGAGATTTTGATGGGGGATGTCACAAACAACTTAATTAGAATAGATGTATTGCTGCAACAACTTAACCATCATTTGGCAAACCCATAAGAGCATGTAGAGCACTATTCATCCAGCGCCAATGACTATGAAGAGGCAAGGGTCAATAAGAGCGTAGGTTCCCTCCAATTTTGCAGCAGGATATTATGGGCCTTAACAAGTTGTTGAGCAACTCGGTTCAGTTCTGTTGCTTTCAATTTACAGCTTCTAGAGAACTCTTGTACTCACCCTATATTTCATGTATCTCATCTGAAGAAAGTCGGTTGCAGGGTACTAGGAGGTGGAAGCATAGTTACCTACTGACCTGCACCAGTTAGAGTGTTGGCTGGCAGATGTATTGGTAGACTTTGGATGTGCTGTTAGACCAGATTACGGTGCAGGGAAAGGGCAAGCTAGGGCTACATCAATTGAATGGCAGTTTATGCAGGAGAAGTCTCCCTATTTCAACCTTGACAATAAGGTTGATCTCCCAAATGGAAGTAATGTTAGCCACAGGCAGCAGTCACGCAGGAAAGTCTTGGAAGAGATTTGCAAAAAAGTAATGAAATTTTGAGAAGGGAAAAATACACTGGAAGAGGTATTTGTTGATATCTTTGAAAGTGAAAGATACACATAGGAGAAACTTTTAGAAAAAAAGAAATCGTTGAGTGAAATGAAGAAGATCAAATGGAAGAGAGAATACGAAGAGTCACTTTGGGAATTTTGCATCTGCAAATTTAGAAGCCAAATGTATATTTTACAAAATATAAGTGCTTCTGATGACATAGTAAGTTAGACACAAGTAGTTGTTTCTTATTCATCCAACTCATATGGATACTCATGCCCAACAAGTATATTGGGCAGTGGGCACATGGAGTTCAGCACTTCACTTTATTAGAATTCATTAGAAGATAGCTGTCAATGTCATAGTAGCAAGATATTAAAATATAGGATATAAACAGGAATTAGGGAGAAAACAAAGAGGCACCAGAAAAGAAATAATGAAAAACTGTTTCTTCAGCGTAGTAAGGGGATTCTGCTTCGGAAGGTCATGGACCTTCTCATGAATTGATAATATCCTTCTTTATAATATTTTCTTGGGTTCATAGCATATTCAAGTAGTTTTTAAAAATCGATATAAGCTAATGAAAATGAGGTCAATTGTTCATCAAATGCTTCTACTCTAGGTTGTTATATTATGTCAATGAAAGGGCGGGAAAGACTAATATACCCTCAAGTAGTTTTTAAATATTATGTCAATGAAAGGGCAGGAAAGACTAATACGCCCTTAAAATTTTAAAATTACGTTTTTAAATATTATGTCAATGAAAGGTCAAGAAAACACCATTACCCTACTATTGCGCCGCTACCAAACCGCTATCCACGGCTGCTATGACTGCTATCATCTATAAGCGGTTTGCAGGCCAAAAGCGTAGCAGTGAGAGACTGGGTCGCTATGCTATGTCGCTATAACGGCGCTATGGCATGCTATTGACAACCTAGCTTCTACTTTTGTAAAACAAGCTTATAAGTTAGGGGACGAGACTTGCTTACGTCATAGTTGATCGTCATAAATTTTCTTCTACTTTGCTCATTTACTCTAGGTTATAGAGATGACTGATTTATTTTGACATGCTACGTTACTAACTTGTGAATATCCAAATGATGCTATACTCATTCCTTTCTCATGTACTCTTAATGCGTATTGAATTCCCGTATATGACGCTAACTTTTTAAAAATCAATTCAGGTCCGTGGAGATAAGTTCAAGCTGCACCACACAGGAGATTAAGCCATCCCATACTTTTCGAACAGGTCTGGCTTCAATTATTCCTCAAAGGCACAGCTTGTCTATGTTGTATGGATGGAGAGTTGGCCTGGCCTCTATTCTGTCTAAGAAGTAGGGAAGTAATCATCAACTTCCAGTACAAGGAATAATATGAAGATGATGTTAGTCAATTGCACTGGATGGAGGCCTCTGGCTCACTCTCTTCTTACCTGTATTGATCGACGGAGTTATCTCCTTATACTTGTTTTGTTCCATATACCATATTTGATATACCCCACTCTTAGATTTGTTTCTTTGTCAAGATGATCAACAGAAGGTACCATTGTTGCATTAGTTTCCGTTTTGCTGGATCAGTGAAGCACAATTAGTATGCGTCTACCTCCATTAACCTTATAATAACTTGAGCATTATTCTCTTCACTTGAGCACTATATATATCTTGCTTTTGTACTCTTGGATGCATTATTCTCTCTTTATTCCTATGTGACCCCATTTTTCTAGTCACATTGATCTGAATTGTCTGATATTGATAGATTGATAGATATGGGTTCTGAAGCTGTAAAAGGGAGAACCAGGGACTAGTTGGTAGGAATATATTCCTAACATGCTTTGTGTGACCCGGAAAATGGAAAAAAAATCTTCGTTGTTCATGTAATGTCCCACTCCTTTAAAATCATGGTACTCAAATATGAGTTTTTTTTAGATTTTTTAAAACAAAATAAGTATCAGTATGAAGTTTTTTCGGAGATATAATCAGTTTATTTAAAGAGTCACCTTTTGAAAATTGTGTACTGCTCTACCGAGTCATAAAAAAGCTAGAAAGAAAACTTCACAACTACTACTATATTTTAGTTGAGATCGACGATATAGATTAAACAATGTTTTAATGTTATATCCCAGAGCATATCTCTAGATAAATGATTGGTTTCAAAGTTTTTCTAAAAAACTTAAATAGTTTTTCACGATTTTCCTTTGTATTCTTCAGCCGTCATGTTCTTTCAATTACTGCTAATCTCTTTAATGTAAAACTCGTACATCTCTTTTATGTTTGTTCTAATTGTTGGAAATTCACTCAAATTTATAATGAATTTCTATCAATTTTGATGAATAAGATTGTTATCACAACACAATGACAAATGAAAAAAGAAAAGAAGATTAAGGAAGAAAAGGAATTTAGGGTTTCTGCAGAGTTTCACTTTGCATGCAAACTGTGAAAAAATTTGTTATTCACTTGTAACTGCAGATACTGTGAATGAATGAATTGATTACAAAAATATGAGTTACTCCTTCTATTTATAATTGAGTTTGCTTTCTGTCTAAGTCAAAAACTCTAAAAATCTAAAATGTATATTTTGGAATTAAATCAAATATGTGTGTATCAACCTGTTTCGGCAGACTTCAACAGTAATATGACTCGATAGACTTTCAACACATACTCCGACCTGCACACCCTTCATCATGATGTCTGCAATCTGATTTTTAGTTCTGCAGTGTTTCAAGTTCATCTTCCCATCTGCTACCTGCTCTCGAAGATGGTGGAATCTCATCTCAGTGTGCTTGCTTCGATCATGTGTTATCGATTTCTTTGCCAGATTGATAGCTGACATGCTGTCGATCTTCATGGTAATTGCTCCATGATCTTTATCTGTAATTTCTTTGATCAAATTCACCATCCAAGTTGCTTGACATGTACAAAGAGAAACAACTATGTACTCTGATTCGCATGATGATAATTTCACAATTGGTTTCTTTCTCGAACTCCAAGCAATTGGTGCACCACCTAGCATAAACATATATCATGTTGTAGATTTTTTATCCTTAGCATCACTACACAAACTTGAATTCTTTTTCTTTATCAACTGCAGAAAATAAAATTTATAGTCAAGAGTTCCTTTCAGATACTTCAATATCCTCTTCGCAGCTGTTAGGTGTGATACAGTTGGCTTCTGTATGAATCTACTCACCATACCTACACTGTATGTTAAGTCAGGCCTTGTGTGACAGGTACTGTAATGATCCAATAAGTATTTTATATTGGGTTGAGTCGATTTCATCTTCTTCTGAATCTTTCGATAGTTGTAACCTTGGTTTAGCAGGTGTCGAAGTCGAATTGCATTTTTCCATCTTAAGTCTATTGAAAAATTCACTTGTATATCTTCTTTGATGCATCATCAAACCTCTATTACTCTTGTAGAATTCGATGCCAAGGAAATATGAAATGTCACCCAAATTCGACATTTCGAATTCCTTACTGAGACCACCTTTGAAATCTTCGATCTCCTTCTTGCAACTACTTGTTATTAACAAGTCATCGACATAATACATAGTATAAAAAATTCACTATTGTTTCTTCTTACATATACTCCATGTTCAGTTGTGCACTTCACAAATTCCTTCTCTCTTAGAAATCTATCTATCTTCTAATTCCAAGCTCTTGGATCTTGCTTCAATCCATATAGGGCTTTATGCATCTTGTACACCATTCTCTCTTCGCCATGCTTCACAAATCCAACTGGTTGTGCAACATAGACTTCTTCGTCTAAGGGTCTGTTGTACCCCAAAATTTTCCCTCCCATTTCATCAATATTTTCTCACCACAAGACCCTTGGAGCTCAAGATCAAGTTAGAGTTTGCTCTGCTCAAGACTCCTCCTTGCACTGTTGACCCAAATTAGGGTTTGAGTTTGCACAAAGATGTTTTGACCTAAAAGGCCCAAAGTGACTTTCATGCTTCATGTTGGACTCACAAGTTTATCCATACCAAGTTTCAAGCCTTGATTCCAATCTTTGCCCAGTCAATTGGACAGTTGACCTAGAATCAGCTGTATTGGGGAAAAAGTCAACTGTGGTCAATTGAAAGTCAAACCTCATGATTTTTGACCCACATCAACATTATGAACTCATATGAACCATTTGGTCAAGTTTGGATCAAAATTCCACAAGAAATTTGATCAGATCACCAAAAGGGCAAAGTGGTCATTTTTAGGGTTTTGACTGCACAAAGGCAATTTTTGACTGTTTGACATGGCCAATGGCAAACCAAGCTCACATATGGACTCAAGGACTCAATGGAATGGTCTTGACATATTCAACAAGTTCAAAAGATCCCAAATGCTCAGGATTGACAGATGAATTTTCCAGTCAACTGATCCAAATTTGACTGTATACTGAAAAGTCAAACTTTGACTTTTTGGTCAAAATCAAGTGTCAAGATTCATTTTTCATCAAAACATGTCAAATTATGAAACTTGTTCATCAAGAAACCAAAAATTACAAATTAGGGTTTGAAATGAAGAAATTTCATAACTTAGAAATTTTCTAAGTTATGAAATTTCCTAATTTTTTCCCTAACTTTGTCCCATCTTTTCATCAAGATACATTTGGATTCAAACAAAACTCAAAACATGAAAGTTATAGTCCATTGCGAAATCTACAACTTTGATTCACAAAGTTTTCTCAAAAGAAGCTTGTAGCTCAAGTTATGATTTTTGGAATAGGGGTGCAAAACATTCTTAACTTAGAAATTTTTTTGACCTATTTTAGGCAGGATTTTTGCCCAACTTCATGACCACTTTTCACATGCTTCCACTTGGAATTTCAACTTGCATTACAAAGATGGATTGTAGTATACATTCCAAGCTTTCCAAATTGTTCAAGAACTCATCAAACACCCTTGTGGTTAGGGAGATTCGAATTTGTCAAGATGGGCAAAAGTCACTTTGTTCATGGCCAAACTCATGTACATAACATTGGCATTTTGAACTCAGCATGATCCAAGCTAGATTACAGACCTCTAATCCCATTCTTACTCAATAATTTAATATAAAACCTTTGTGTCCTAGCATTATCTTGTTCATTAAGTCATTACACAAAGGTTTAGTCTTAAAATGGAAAAAAGCATTTTAGCCATTTTTGAAAAGAAGTGCTTTATGTCAAAAGCAAATCAAAGAAGTACAAAGCAGATCTTTTAGGCACAAGATTATGGACTAATCCCACTGATCAAGGAGAGAAAAGGCAGCATGCTTGAGGGGCCTGTAGTAGCCTATAATCAAGTTTGACAAACTTTGTTTATCTAAGAAGAAAACTGGCATTTTGAAACACAACTCACATTCCTGCAAGAACCAACTCAAGCAAATCTTGTGAACACATTTTGACACTCCATAACTGACCTAGAACACGAGCCCTTGACCCTCAATACCTCCTCATCCATCAAAGCACCTTTTTTCTGCAAAACAGAGTCCCTGTTGCAGATTGACCTCCACAATTCATTTCCCTCCTGCGTTTTCATCCAAACCAGTTCAAACACATTCCCTACCATCCATACAAACTATCCAAAGCCTTGGAAACAGACTGTAACACCTCTAACCAAGTTTACCATTTTCATTTTTTCAGTTGTGCAGGTTGAGTTACATAGCTCGATTCAGTTAGTTTCAAAGCAAGCTAGAGGTTAGAAAAGCATCCTTGGACCTCAGGCAAGCTGTACAAATCCTCAAATTTCATTGAAAGTGCCTCCATTGTTGTACACGATTCAAGCTGAACAGGTAAGAGTTTGAACTTCTATCTCTCTATCCAAGCATATCTAGGCTTAGGTTTGTGAAGAAGTTATGTCCTACTCATGGCCCTGAATCTACCCATATCATTACTTTTCATTTATGTTGTATGTACTGAGAGAATTTTGAACCTGAACATTGAAATAAAGCTAGGTCAGGAATTGGGGGAGGAGAAATTCTCTCTCATTTCTGAGAGTTAGATCAAGTTCTTTATATGTATGAATTCGTGATTTGATGCTTTACATTTTTGGTGTTATAAGTTTGTGCTAAAAATCAAAGAATCAGGATGTTTGAATCAAGCAAAGAAACGCGCGTTTTTGAGAACAGGAATGGTTGGAGGTTGAAGAAGCTTGCTCTAGGCTGGGCCTGATCTGTTTTTTCTATTTGCACCACATTTTTTCACTTACACCCCCTTGGCCCATTGTGTGTTATTTTTATCATTTTTGATTTTTTTTCTTTTTGTTTCTGACTTATTATTTTTTGTCAAAATATAAAAAATATAAAAAATATTTTTTCAACCATTTTTGCATTTTATTTGGATTTTATTTGTTTTATTTGAATTTATAC